CTTGGGTACCCAGAGGGAGTAGTCGAAGATTTGCAACTCGACAACTACCGATTTCTAGATCTAAGCTGTAGATAGCGACAATTAATATGAATTGAAGGAAGTACAACTTTCATAGGCCCTGTTTGGTTCGGCTTTTATCGACGGATTCCGCTGCCGCGCAGCAAAATCTGAACCAAATGGCGAACCCAGCAGAATCCGAAATCCGCTGCCAAAACCTGAACCAAAAGCGAAAGCAGCCCGGGACATGCTTTTTCAAAATCTGATTCCGCTGCGGGTCAAAATCTGAAAAAGCTGTATCAGCTGGTTTGCCAAATGACCTACATCTTTTTCACATCATTTTCCAAAGCTGTTTTTCCACAGCAGATTTTTCACAGCTGCTTTTAGAAATCCACAGCCGAATCAAACAAGGCCATAGTGTGACTCGTTCACTTATAGATTAATAAAATCGATGAAATTATAAGTGTAAATAGCCATGAAGTTTTATGCTTAGATCTCTGCGTAATGTATTCCGAGGCTTTCTAGTTGAGTTGTATTTCGTAACTTTTGCCGGTTGGATTTGCATTAAACTTGTGACATGCGAACAAGCATATCAAAGTTGTGACATGTGAGCCACAAGAGAATTTTATGGCCTTGCCTTGCCTGGTTGTCTTTGCCTCTTCCCTCGACAAAGCATAGGTTCTTGCTGAGGTTCTTACAAAAGCATATGTTCTTGCTCGAAGCCCTCTCTCACGGCAGCGCTGCTTATGGTGTAGGAAGCGTACAGTTTTTCTCCATGAATCAGATACGGGATGGCGAACAATAATGTGGTCTCTTCCGTCGCTCATTGTAGTTTCTGACGAACCAACCAAACTGTTAATGGTCCTTGTGGAGTTCAACAGATTCTTTCTCGGGTCTGCAATATTATACAATCTCTTTGCTTACTGTGTCGTCTGATTAATTGACTGAAATAGCTCCAATGATCTCAAAAGTGACGATAGGCTGCTGCATCAAGGGATGCGCCCTGAAAGAGCAAAACATGAGCGCCTAGCAGGTTGCATCAGGCCGACTCCAATGCGCGACCGCTTTTGGTCCGTTCTAATTCGTTTCGATCGAAACACACAGAAAACATGGCCCAAGGCGCCAACGCAAACAAACAAATGTCTCTTTTTTGTTCATCCGTGATCAATTTTCGGTCCAAATTTATGTTGCGTTTGCGTTGAAACGGACAAGGCGCGGTGCGCGGGACGCACGCCCTTGTCCTCCGCCTGGCCCGCCCGTAGGAGGCACAACGTTTCCATTTCCCCCTTTCCTCCCAAAAACTCTCCCGTCCTCCCTCTCTCGCCATGGCCACCGCCCACTGCCCCAAACAACGCCACCGCCGCGATCCCGGCCGCCAACGATGTCTGTCCCACGGCCCCGAAGAAGAAACCCAAGATGGCGCTCATGCCGGCGTAGCTCGCCCAAGAAATGGCAAAGAGGGCTAGCCGAGGGGCCGTTGCTCCGAAGAGGAATTCTGCCGTCGACACTGCCACCGCGCAACACAAGGCCGCCGTTGAAAACCACGAGGCCCTCGTTGCCAAGGCCACTCATATAGTGACACAACATACCCTCCTCATGCTAGGGTTTAGCCGACCCACGCCAGCCATTCTTACCGCCGACGCCGTGTCGCGGTGTACACTTGCTCGTCGGTCGTTCGCCCTCCATAGGGGCAGTCGCCAAGCTCCTCCACAACATCGCAGACGGGCGGTCTCCATCCGTCGCACGACCATGGTGCGACCTGCTTCTCCACATAGCCGGGCGGCAGCGTGACCGCGCCAGTCACCCCGCTCCGGCGGCCAACAACGACCTCAATGTCACGCCTGGGTCCGGCGCCGGCCCGTCGGCCACCGGGATGCAAAAGAAGCGGCCGCGGGCGATCCCTACGGCTAACCTGCTTGACGCCCGCAAGCTGTTCGACGGAACTCCCAAATCCGACGTCGGCGCAAGATGACCCGGCCTACTTCGACGATTTCATGGAGAACATCATCTACAAGGGTCGTGGCCAAGCCTTCCACCTCGAGGGCCATGGCCAAGGCCAAGCCCTCGATCCCGATGAAACCCAAAGCCAAGACGGTCGCGACCAAGATGGTGTCGAGCACATTGGTGGCCACGACGACCAAGAAGCGACCCTGGGTGATTTTTTTGTAGTCAGGCATCTGTGTCAGCCGCTGGCGCTCTGGCCGGCATGCATTATGGACGTTGGCATCGTTATGGGCGTAGACTATTTCAGCTTTATTTCAATTTTCATGGCAGCCCGGACAAAATGTGTCTACCGGTTGGTCGTATCAGCTAAGTTTGGACGACACCCTTTTGCCTGACCCAAACAAACAGAATCCAGACAAAACGACGTCCGGGTTTGGGGTCGCGTGTTGGAGTTGGCCTTACAGATTCGGTTCACGCCGCGACGGCTTACCGAGTAACAAGAATAATCATTTTACCTTTGCCGTCTTCCTCAAAAGAAGGTGTGATCACCACTGTGTTTCTTCTTGTTTGGCAGATCTTTCAGCTCCTGGCAAAGATTTAAGCGCGGAGCATATAGCTATATACATTTGGTTATTTGATTGTATAATAATCATGTAAACCATGAAAAAGAACAACGAATCAATGCAACCTTCTTATTTCCTATCACATGTTCAGAATCGCAATGCACAAACACATTCTCACACAAGTCATCTAGTGCTACAATTGTGAACTAATAATAACTAAAAAAAATGTATGAACGCTTCCCAGGAAGAGGAACCCAACCAATGAAATGCTCAAAAGAGACTACACACATAGCCAAAAAAAACCTAACACCCTGTTAGTATACCCTGCTCCCTCCAGAGTCTCGAGAACCTGATGTGAGTACGAGATGTACGCCACTCCCGCTCCCCGTCACGACGACGACGACAACAGGGACGAGAGGTCCTCGAACACCGTCCGTATCTCCGGCCTCTCCGATGCGGACCGGATACACCGGATGGCGATGTGCAGCATGTCCTCCAGCTTGTTAGATGCGCCCCCTGAGCTTTCAGTTTCAACAATGCGCCCGTCGAAGCACTCGGAAGCACGCTCCTCCCTTGCCAGCATCCTCACCCAGTCCGTCAGGTCGACCGCGCCATCGCTCACACAAATGATCTCCCCCGCGATCCTCCCTGTCAGAAGCTCAAGCAGGATGACGCCAAAGGCATACACGTCGCTCTTCAGAGACGGGCATGGCTTGCTGGTGCTCGCAAACTCTGGAGGGGAGTACCCAAGGGCCCCTGCATTCAGGACCTGCTCAGCCATGCCCACCGGAGTCATCAGCCTGTGAAGGCTGTAGTCAGTTACCAGAGCAGACGGGCTCGAGTCCTGAAGCAGGACGTTGGACGACTTGAGGTTGCCATGTGGGATCACCCGCTCATTGTGCAGGTAATCTAGACAGTGGGCAATGCTGATCGCGATGTCAAGCCGCTGGCCCACCGACAGAGGTGCAAGATCCCGCTCTTCAATCTCTGAAAGATGACAGAAAAGAAATGCATCAGAATACATACGAATCAGCTGCCGCTAGAATTTGATGGAGAGAGAGAGCTGAAAGCCATTACCAGACAGGTAGGTAGACAGAGATGTGGCATCTACATAGTCTGATATGATGATCCTCTCGTGCTCTTTGGGGCCCCAGTAGTAGCCTCGCAGTGAGACTAGACTGGGATGTTTGACGCTGCCGAGCTTCTTTATCTCACGGGAAAACTCTTTCTTGCTCTTAGCAAACCCCTCCTTCAGCCACTTCACTGTCAGCACATATCCATTGTCAAGAGTAGCCTTGTAGGATGTCCCGTGACAGCTCCGGCCGATCATCTCTGCCGGAGCACGAGAGAGCTCTTCCGCTGTAAACAACACAGAATTGTCGAAAAGATGCAAGTCCCCGACCAGTTTGTCGGGAGAGTGCACTCTCAAGATGGAGTGATGGTGGTGTGAGCGCACATCAGAAGGTGATGATATCAATGAAGGCATAGAAGACGCTGAGCTATCTTTAAGGCTAGAAATGCTACCAGTTGGCTGATCCACACATTGTGCTTCATGCTGTCCTTCCATGCCACCACGGGGCACGGAAATGCCTCCATACTCTGCAGACGGTGATGATCCTAGCGACACATCGTGGATTTCAGAACTTGGAATTTCTGCACGTCTCTGAGGAGCACCCTGTCCTTGATTTACAGAATTCTTATGTTGGCCCTTACCTTTTTCGCTGCTCTTCCAGTTAGAGATCTTCCAATGGACAAGTAAAAGGACAATGATCCCGGTAACAAAGACAATAACACATGCAATCAATGCATACAGAATTCCACGCTTCATACCATGTTTCCTCCCACCTGATCCTTCAGGACTATTTGGTGACCCAGAGCGGGGAAGAACAAGTAGTTCATTCCCTGGATGGAAAGATGAATCAGGAAATTTTAGCAAACTGCTCGGAACGGGGCCAGAGAAATTGTTGTATGATACATTGAACTCTACAAGATCGTCTGGGAGGCCATCAGGTATGCTACCATCGAAATGGTTGCTTGACAAGTCAATGTGCAGTAAATGCTTTAGCTTGGTGATTGATGTTGGGATTTGCCCAGTAAAGTTGTTCAGGCAGAGATCCAACAACACCAATCCACTCAAACGACCGATGCCCGAAGGCAGTGGACCACCAAAAGAATTGTTTGAAAGATCAAGAAATGAAAGGTTTGAAGTCTGTACAGGAAAAACTGACAGGTCTACAGTAGTTGAATTGTTGGTTTCAGAACTGGGAAGAGGCAGAGTTCCTGCGAAATTGTTTCCTGAAAGATTAAGATAGGTCAGCTTAGCTGCTGTAAAGAGATTTTTAGGTAAAGCTCCATGGAACTGATTGAGGCTAAGATCTATGGCAATCAACTCAGGATAGGTTCCGAGAACAGTTGGCAATTCTCCTGCTAGCAAGTTATTAGAAATCCTCAATGAAGTCAGCCTCAAAAATTGGGTAGTCTGACCGGGCCAAGTTCCTGTTAATCTATTTGAGCTCAAATCAATCATCTCAACATAATCTCCCCATGTATGGACAACTGATATGTTCCCTGAAAGCATGTTTCTACTCAAATCAACCACTGAACAGCTCCCAAATGTGATTGGTAAAGTTCCCTGAAGGCTGTTGGATGACAGATTCAGGTACTTCAGATTCACTGACGTTACACGCCTAATTGGACCTGTGTAATACAAGGGTTTAGATAAAATTAGAGGCAATCGACATTGTGATTAGTAATCGCAACACATCATCATTTACAAACATAGTATGGATTGATTCGGTGCCATAGAGGTTATTATGGCAACGGAAAAAAATCGTGTTCAATACATGTATTGTTTGCATGGGTTATTACGCTGCAACATATTAATTGTTCAAAGTGGTAGTAGTACGAACGACAAGTTTAATAACGGAAGGCTTAAAAACGAGTTCTTTTTAACACAATCCTGTGCAATGAGGAGTAGAAAAACAAATCTACCTGTGAGCTGGTTGCAGCTAAGGTCAAGTTGAGTCAACACCATGGAGGTCTCCCGAAATAGCGCTTCTGGAATGGACCCCGAGAACTTATTGTTCTGCAGAAGCAACACCTTGAGGGAGATCATGAAGTTAAACGACGGGACGTTGCCAGTAAGCGCATTGTAACTTGTATCGAACACCTCGAGGCTGTCGAACAAAGGCGTGGGATCGCTCGCAAACACTGGCCCTGACAGCACATTATGGCTAACATTCAGGTACTGCAGAGTGGTAGCCACAGATGAGTTATCAGAGATTGATGCCAGGGACCCCGAGAACTGGTTGCAGCTGAAATCAACATGGACCGGGCTCTGCAGCTGTGCAAATATGTCATCCAATTTGCCGACGAAGCCGTTGCCACGGAGATCCAAGTACTTCAGTTTCCTCAGGCTTCTGAAACCCACCGGCAATGCACCACCGAAGCCATTGGAGGAGAGATTGAGATGTCCCAGGTTACTCAGTTTGGTCAATTCTGCCGGAATGGAGCCAATGAATCTGTTGTTGGACAGATCCAGGTGCTGCAAGGAAGCAAGAGACCCCAGCGCACGGGGCAAGACCCCTTCCAATTTGTTGCCGGACAGGGACAGGTTCTGAAGCATCGTCATCCTTGCGAGCGCCGACAAGCTGGCGTTGCCCACAAGCCCAATGCCATCGAACGCTATGGAAAGAATCTGGCCGCCGTTGCACTGCACGCCATGCCAATCGACGGGGCAGCCGTCGGAATCCGACGAACTGGTCGGGTTCCATGGAGCGGCCTGGCGGCGGGACGGGTCTTGCCGGATGCCCCTGCCGAACTCCAGCAGCGCTTCCATGTCCGAGCCAGCCACTGCGGCGGCGCCGGATGCGGCCCAAATCCAGAAACACAGGATGACGAGCCGCATTGCAAGATCCAACCTTGAAGCCAGACGAAGCGATAATGTGGGTGGCGGTAGGTAGGTGGGTAGGGTTTAAGGCACTTGGAGTTGAGATGAAAGATTAAGGATGAAATATTTTGGGGATTTTTCTCGGCACCGAACTCGGGGCCAAGAAAAAGGGGGAAATTGCGGCAAATGAATGAGCACAAGAAGCTGCGGTGCGGGGAAAATTCCAACCAAAATCACTGCGAGTGTGAGCTGGGTAATTTGGTGTTGGGGCTCCAGCTCCCAGGCAAACACATCCAGGTGCGAAACTGGGAGCGAGAACTTGGCAGTGTGGCCAAGAACAAGGGCAAACACAGAGACACGCGGCGACGCTGCGTCAAGAAACAAAATCCATCCAAGCGTGAGCTGGGCAGGAGAGACTGGAGCAATGGCTGCTGTCCAAGCCGAGTAAGTAGAACCCTGCAATCCGAACCGAAGCAAACACTCAGCTGAAGATGCCAGATTAGTAGACACAAACAAAATGGAGCGAGCTCAAGGAGGGAGTGAAGCTGCACACCTAGACTCGCCCGGGTGGTTGCTCCTCTCTCTGATTGGAATCTACAAGGAATTTGGTCTGATGGCTACAGAATGCAGCGGCTACCTTTTGGGGCAGCAGCAAGGGGAGACCGGGCAAACGGAGAGCTCATGGCCTTGCCCGTGCTCGGCGTGTACACTGCTGGTACTACTGCCGAGAGAGAGATAGGGGGGGAGCAGGTGAAAAGAGAATTAAAAGGGTCCGGTGACACTGCAGGACTGGGGGCACATTTCACGTTGAGATTGTCAACTCAAAAGTGTGTCACTGCAAAAAAAGAAAAGGGTCTGGATTTACTTTTAAGGAAAAGTGATCTGTAAAGCGGAAGCAAAAGGCGAGGCTTTCCCTGACAAATCACAAAGTTACCAGCACCAGCAGCAGCAGGGAGGAGGGAAGAAAAGCAAATTCTTAGCCGCCGGGATTATCCGAGAAATCTTATCAGTGTTACTATTACTTCTTACTACAATCGAAAGAAGATGCTACTAGCAATAATAATTGAGTTATTCTAGGTCGGATACTAGGATGATGAGAAAATAATCTGGGACACTCAGAATAAAATCTGAGAAAGCTGCAGCATTATTTGAGCATCATTAGCGCTAAGACGAAACCATGATGACGAGTGCTAATCTCCCTGCAGGCCAACGTGCAGCGCCAGATATGCCCGCCTCGGCTTCGGGTGCTGGGATCGAAGAGGAGGGGACACCCACCCTTGTAACCGGTGCACAAAGGGAAACGTCCAGCCACCGGTCGCGGTCTCCTCCTTGCAGAAATCACATATTTGACCTGAGGTCCAAATCAAATCACAAACTGACCTCGTTCCGAAAAAATTTCACTCTGCTGACCCTTTTGTGTGGCGCCCGACAGCTGGGCGTCACACACTACTATGCAGCGCCTTTCTCTTGGGCGTCGCACCTCGTGCCAGCATGGCAGCCATGGTCCAGTTGCGGCCCCACAGACAGCACTGCAGCGCCTCAGACTTAGGCGCCACACTTGTAATGTGCAGCGCCTAGCTCTTGGGCGCTGCACAGTGAGTTAAAGCGCATCGGCCCAGCCCGGCCAGGCAGTTCTTCCCCCTCTCCGCTCTCTGGACAGAGAGCAGCGGCGGCGCCCCCATCGAATCCCCCCCCCACACACACATCCCTCTCAGATCTGAAGATTTGATCCGTGGATTCGATCTCCAATCCATCCTACTAGGTAAACTCCTCCGTTCCCTTTCTTTTCTCCGTAAATTTGTTGCCATTTTAGAGATTTGTCCAAGATTTGATGGAACCTTTGATTTGCTTGATTTAGGATGTGTAGTCATAGTGGTAGTACCGTAGTGTTGTTGCTTAGTTCACAATATATAGTTCTTGTTAGTGAAACCCTAGATTGTTTTGTTTATATATATATATATATATATATATATATATATATATATATATATATATATATATATATATGAGATGCCTATTTATATAGATAACAATGAGATGTTGAGTTTTGTAGAGATATATGATTTGTTTTTTAGATATATATTAGATGTTGATTTTATTTGAAATATTAGATGTTGAGTTTATTTAAACACATATGACATATTTATTGTGTGAGAAGGAGATGTTGAGATTCTTGTAATTGAGCGAGGCCATTTCCCCTTCTTGTCACGGGCCGAGTCCTCCTCTTGCGTCTCGCGAGCCTTTGCAATCTTTCTTGCCCTCTCCTTCTCACGAGCAAGTTTCGCTTGGCGTGCCCTCTCCTCGTCTCGTTTCTTCCGCTCCATCCTCTCCTTCTGACGACGCTCTTCCTCCAAGCCTCTTCGAAACGATTCTTCGAACCGCCGTTGCCGCCTAAGACAATCTTGGTATTGGTCCTTTTTGACATCTTCTGGCACTTCAAGATCTATCCACGTGAAATACTTGCATAGAGGAGGCGGTGACTGCATACAAAATTTTTGTTAATGTTGACACACATTTGATAGTAACATTTTACTTCTTGAGCTTACCGGTGGTTGGTCATAGGCGTTAGTTGGAAGTGCACGATCATAAGCATAGTTCGGGCATACAAAATATCTCCGCCCTTCCGTCCATGATTTATTTCGGTCGGTGGATACCTTCACCTTGCAAACATATCCACACCAACATGGCGGGATGTTGGCATCTTTCTCCTTCACCTTGTCCAAAGATGCGTCCTCCCACTTGTTCGGCATGTATTATTGGTTAGCACACGGTGGCCTCGTTATGGAACCGGATGAAGCCATGCATACAAAATCGATAATTCTTGGTTAACCCTAACCCCCACTTAACAATAACCACAACCCTAACCATAGCATAACCCTAACACCAACATCAAATACACATAACTCTAACCCTAGCATACTATGAAAGCCTAACCAACCCAAATTAGCAAAAAAACATAACATGATTCAATACAAATTTGCAAATCCAAGCCAAAACTAGGGTTTCCCCAAAGTAGCAATATTTGAGCAAATGTGACAATTCCTATGGATGAAAACGAGGGGATCGAAGGAGATTACCTTAAGGGAGGGGTTGGCTTCGAAATCCACGGTCAAATACTTCGGATTTGCAAGATTTGAGAAGGATTTGAGAGGGGGAGAGGGGAAGAGAGGAGGGGCGCAAGGCTAAGGGTTTGTGTGGGATGGGGTGTGTGAGGTGGGGGTGGGATGGGAGAGAGGGTGGGGCCAGCCTAAGTGGAACACAGACTGTGCAGCGCCCAAGAGCTAGGCGCTGCACATTACAAGTGTGGCGCCTAAGTCTGAGGCGCTGCAGTGCTGTCTGTGGGGCCGCAACTGGACCAGGGCTGCCACGCTGGCACGAGGTGCGACGCCCAAGAGAGAGGCACTGCATAGTAGTGTGTGGCACCCAGCTGTCGGGCGCCACACAAAAGGGTCAGCAGAGTGAAATTTTTTCAGAACGAGGTCAGTTTGTGATTTGATTTGGACCTCAAGTCAAATATGTGATTTTCTGCCTCTCCTCCTGCCATCTCCTCTCCTGCCGCACCCCACTTGACCCCATACAGCTCAGCTATTGTGACTTTTGTTTCACCCTTTTCAGGATCCAGCGCAAAGCACATCTTTTTTATTTTGCGAAAAGAGCATCTCTAGCGAACCAGCCTAAATGCGAACCAACATGTGGTTGGATGGTTAGGTCAATTCCACCACGTGATCTCAAACGGACGTCCGCTTTAACCGGATTTTATCCCTTTAAGGCGGCAATGGGTTCGCCCATGTCCGGCTCTGTCCATTGGGTCGTGGGTGTGCCCAACACACGGCCGCATCCTAAATCATGTCCGGGATAGACGTGACAAAAAAGAAAAACTTGAATTAAATGCCTAAAAAAGTAGATAAAACGCAGTTAAAAAACTTAAAACATAATTTAAGTTTCATGACCACAAAACGCCCCAGTTTCATGGTTTGCTTAAACGACTCAGTTTCATAATTTACATAAAACAAAATAAAAAAACGCCCGTGCGCTCCTGCCGCGCCTGTCGATGCCGTGGTCGTCGCCGTCTTTAGTGGCCGCCGGTGTTGTCATCGTCGCTGACGAGGTCGACGTAGTCCGGCGACGTCCAGAGGTGGCCCGGCGGTCCATGGTGCGCGGGGGCAGCGGGCTGGAAGGTGGCCGGTGCTTGCACCACCTCCTCCCGAGGCGAGGCGTCCCGCTCCGGCGATCGAGGCGGCGTGAGGCACCAGTTCATGCCCCCCACGGTGCCCACCATCTGCTCCGCCGTGCACGACCAGCTCCACCCCTGGCCCACCAGGCCCGGGTGGAAGGCGGCCACCGGCGGCTCCTCCACCACCTCCTCCGTCCTCGCCATCTCCAGCTCGGGGATGGTGACGTCGTCGGCCGCAGAGAGGGCCATCGTCTCCTCGATGCCCGACCATTGGCGCTCACCGTGCGTGTTCATGGAGTCCTCCATGACACGTTACATGAGCAGGGCCTCCTCCTTCGCTGTCACGCGAGGAGGTGGAGGTGGCGGCGGAGATGAGGAAAGCGACGGCGTGGGCATGAGGCCGTGCACCCGTGTATGCCCGCGCAACTCCGTCGTGGCCGCCGCGGCCCCGACGCCGTGCTGATGACCCACAAGTATAGGGGATCTATCATAGTCCTTTCGATAAATAAGAGTGTCGAACCCAACAAGGAGCAGAAGGAAATGATAATCAGTTTTCAGTAAGGTATTATCTGCAAGTACTGAAATAAGTGGTAACAGATAGTTTTGTGATAAGATAAATTATAACGAGCAATCAAGTAACAAAACTAAATAAAGTGCAGCAAGGTGGCCCAATCCTTTTGTAGCAAAGGACAAACCGGAACAAACTCTTATAATAGGAAAAGCGCTCCCGAGGACACATGGAAATATCGTCAAGCTAGTTTTCATCACGTTCATATGATTCGCGTTCGATACTTTGATAATTTAATATGTGGGTGGACCGGTGCTTGGGTGATGTTCTTACTTG